GAGACCAAGCGGCAAAGGAGGTCGTGGCCATTCCTTGTTAGCCCCAAGTCTTCACCTCCACTGCTCCTGAGCACACCCCCAGCTCCTGCAGCAGAGCTGAACCTGCATCACCACGCAGCTCTGGCAGTGACCCAGCAAACAGGTACCCATTCCTCACAGGCAGAGAGTTGGCAACTAAACTTGGGACTAAAACTGCCCCATTCACACTGGTGGCAGAAACACTGCAAGTTAACACTGGCAGTCCAACAGAAACTGTTTTTAGCTACTGCAGAACTGTACCCTGGATGTGCCACAGCTTGTGCAGTGCTACATCTTCTATTATTTCTTCTTTCCTAACACTGATGTGTTAACAGCAAATAACCACATATATTAGAAATAATGTTGACTTTTAGAAAAATCACAGGAAAAAATTACTTTTAAACCCCATTTCAAACTAATACCTACATCACATTTCAGCATGAAGCAAGGTGTACTAAGAATTACAAAACAGAACTCAGAAACTTCACATTTCAGTTGCCAGCCCTTTGCAAAATACAGAAGACACAGCACTTTCCCTCATGAAAGATATGTAATACAGAGCAAACAGAAACCAAAAATTATGTCTTTTAATACATGTACATTTCTAAGCTAGACACCAGTTCTAGCAATTTTTATGCAATTTATTTTCAAGCTTTCCCTCCTCTAGTATAACTGTAAATTGTTTCAAAATACTCCTACTGCAGTTAAAATGTTTGGACAATCCTTACATGAGCAAAATTTAACATACAATTTTCCTTCATATATAGTTTTCCTTTTACATATTTCATCTGACCACATGTTTGAACATGACTCTTGAAAGCATGGCATTTTAAATGCTCTTCCTTGACAGCATTAAAAAAAAAACCTTGAAAAGCAACTGTAGTCTTTCATCAAAGACTAAATTGTGTTTTGCTCCATTTAGTACTACCTGAAAGAACTGCAGAAAAGAACCTTAAAATATTTAACTTAAAGATTTCATGCCACTGTGCTTGGTTTTGGTTGGAATAGAGTTAATTTTCTTTGCAGTGGCTGGAATGGGGCTGTGCTTTGGATCTGTGCTGGAAGCAGTGCTGATAAACACAGAGATGGTTTTGCTATAGCTGAGCAGACCTTGCACAGCCTCAAGGCCTTTTCTTCTCACACTGCCCCAGCAGAGGGGAGGCTGGGGGTGCACAACACACTGGGAGGGGACACAGCTGGGACAGGTGACCCCAGCTGACCAAAGGGATATTCCAGACCATCTGCTGTCACGCTCAGCACACAGAGCTGGGGGAAGGAGGAGGAAGGGCAGGACATTTGGAGTGACGGCGTTTGTGTTCCCAAGTAACCATCACCCACGATGGAGCCCTGCTTTCCTGGCCATGGCTGAACATCTGCCTGCCCACAGAAAGTGATGAATGAATTCCTTGTTTTGCTTTGCTTGTGTGCACAGCTTTTCCTTTACCTGTTAAACTGTCTTCATCTGAATCCACAAGTTTTTTTCACTTCTACTTTTCCAAGTCTCTCCTGGATCCCACAGGTGGGGAAGTGAGAGTGGCTGCGTGGTACTTACTTGCCAGCCAGGGTTAAACCACGCCAGCCACACAAACCACAGTTCAAAGAACTTCTCTTTCACTTTTAAGGAGCTGATGACTAATTTTTTAAGCAGCAGAAGTTATCACTACACTCTCCCTCTTTTTCTTCATCTCTCAGCAAGGTCATCAATTGCTACAACAAAAGATACAAACATGTTTCTGGATAAGTCAAACCAAAAAGGAATAGTCAACAACAACTGTCTGTAGAGCAATTTGCTGCTCTTTTTATAACAGTTTCCCTGGAATATATCCATGGTAATTTTATAAAACCCATTTCCAGATGCAATAGGACAAATACAGGCTTTACCGTTTAAATAATATTTTACTTTCTCACTGAAAACACAGCCGACCTCAGTTTTTGTATTCAGCTTCTACAAAGAAAAACAAGTCAAAATCAGAAGTGGACCATTTGGTTAGCTGTAATTATCTAGCACTTTATCTGATTAAAGCACTGTGGAATTACTAACCAAATCTCTCATTATTCCTGTGATAACACAAAGAATCACCATTTTATATATTCACTCACACGGGCATATATTTAAAATAGTTGTCTTGAGCACTGCAGAAACACAGTATGCAGTTTGGATCAGAACTGGAATATATATCTATAGTGGCATAAACCTTAAAGAGTTAATGGGGCATTAATGCCAGGTTTTGTCTTCCTGCTTTAGTTAGCAGCTAAACATACTATAGCTTGATATCAAACTGCCCCAAGTCAATGATTTAGGAAGATTTTTGCTACGTGCAATTAAGTGCTAATAAGAAAAACTCAGATAAATCTGAAGTAACAGCTCATGGTAACAACACAGTACATATGCCTATCAGTTCCTAGTCCATGTTGTGATACTGTACACAGAAGGCATACACCAAAATTGAATTTTTATCATGATACCAAACATTTAAGAAACATACATTTTGAAAAAGAGTAAACTGCTTACCACAAATTTTTTTATTAATGAAACAAAACATTTTACTGAGGTAATGATATCTCTCTAATTGTTGTGTATTTTTGTTAAAGTCAAAAGGGGTATCTCTTACTAACAACTAGTTTTCACTTTTCTTAAAGCTAACTTCCCTTCAAAAACCAAAGCAACAAACAAAAAAAGGATCCAGTAAAAAAAAATCTTCTGCATCTACAATGTTCATGACGCTTAAGACTGTAAACTTCAGAGATGAGATCCTAAGGTTCAGGCACCACATGATGGCTGAGATGACCCAGAGCCTGCCAGCATCCTCATTCACTGCTGCTGCTTTCTGCAGCAGGTAGCCCCAAAGCAGCAGCCAGGGACCCAGGTAAGTGCAATCAGCAGCTGGAAACACCCTTTGCACTTGGGCTTTCTGCAGACTGGGCACATGCACTACAACTGAAGGACTGAGTTCTTTAGATGTCTCCAGAATTACAAATACCATTGATTCACCTTGACCATTCTGGTTGGCTCCCATAAATGAGACAATCACTAAAGCAAAAAACACACTGATAATCTATTTGGCAAAACTCAGTCCAGCTCTTAAAGCTGACACACGGCTACAAGCACTATTACCACAGAAAAACAGAGCAAAGCAATTCTAACTTAAAATTAAGAACATCATGTTCCTCACAGAAGTTGCATGCACAGTCTTCCAGACTGTTTCATCTGAAGATCAGAGTTCATAAAACTGTCCTACTTGATTTCTTTGAATTTTGAGACCAAAAAGAGTTGCTTCTCATATGAACATGCTCATGCTCCCCCCTCTTCCACATTAGAGGCAGTTGTCTGACATCAGAGCAGGATTTCTTTCTCAATTCATACTAAGCAAACAGTAGCAACTCTATTCAAACCTAAGTATCAAAAGTACTCATGTTATTTAAAGTATTTACTTTCCTTAGTTCACACCTACTTAGTTGGAGCCACTGAATTTCTGAGCTAACTCCTTTAGTACAGTCTAATTAGACTGTGGCATTAAAACCTTATCAACAGACGTGACACGCTAATGGTTAAGATACTTCATCACAACATGCACTTCCAGGTCAAAAATGCCCATCATTTCATGAGTTTCAGAATTCTTGGGTCACAACAGATTTCTAAAACTGTACCACTGATGGATGAGCCTTATCCTTGTCCTTTCCTACACAATTTTTCACTGCTCTGAGAAGTACTAAGGCTATTTAAGAACATTAGTTTCCACTGACAATAACATAATTATGATTTCTACCATTCGATTTTTACACCAATGTTACAGCATAGAACAAATGATAAAAGTAGAACTAATCGACCTATGCTTTAGGTATACACCCCAGTTATTTTCTGTAACAAATGAGTAGTCCAGAAATCCAAGTTTTATCCTAAAAGCCTCTCTGTATTAGTCTACCTGTATCCCAGTAACTCAAATCTTCTCGCAGACCAGCTTGAATAAATCAGGGTTGAGAAGACTCCCTTCCATTTTCCCTACCCGTCTGGAATGCACCGTGATAACCTCGAGTTTGGGAGGGAGATTAGAAGACAACAGAAACTACGTCCCGCGCGTGGAATATCCCATGTCCTCCATGACCTAGACCAGTTTAGCTATGGGCTTCCTAACAGACACTCATCTGCCAGGTTAAACAAATTAAACCACTTTATTTATGTAGCATATGATTAAACTGCTTTCAGGGGAAAGGCAATATTCACCCAGACTGGTTGAAAAAGAGACTGCAGAGAGAATAGTGGAGAAATACTGTATGAACGTGAGCTTATAACAAAAGTGCCACCAGTTCACCACCGGCAAAAGAAACTCGATGAATAAATACTCAGAATGCTTTGCCTTTCACTACAAACACTGTTGTTTCCCGTCCTTTTAAAACCGTGGAGAACGGGAAAGAACGAAGATCTCCAGGCGTTTAATTCTGCAGGGGAACCCGAGGGACGAGCCAGAACCTCCCTCCCTCTCTGCCCTGCCCGGATTAGGTAAGAGCCAGCCGCGCTCCCGGGGAATGTCACGGCGGGGCCACGAGCGGCCCATTTCCCGGGGCAGGCTGTTCCCGGGCCCGCCGTGGCCCCGCCGTGGCCAGGCCGCCTCCCCGGGCCGCGCCGGCCCCGCCGCGCCGCCCGAGCACAAAGCGCGGCAGGGCCGAGCCCACAAAGCGAAGGGGCAGCCCCGGCCGGGCGGAGCGGGCCCGGGCCGTGCCGCCGCCCCCGACCCACACAATGGCCCGGCGGAAGGGCCCGGGGCCGCCGCCGCCGCCGCCCGGCCCCGCTCGGGCCCGCAGGCCCCGCCACAGCTCCGCCCGCCCGGGCCGCGCTTAGGCCGCGCCGGGGCCTTGTCCCGAGCCCGCCCCGCGGCCGCGCCGGGGCCTCTGCCGCGGGCGGCGGGGGCCGAAGGGCCGCGCCGGGCAGAGCCGCTCCCGCCGCCCCCGCGGCCGCTCGGGCTCCCCGGTGGGGCCGCGCTCACCTGTGTGCGCCGGGCAGGGCGGGACCCGCTGAGGCGGCCTTGGCTCCCCCGATGGGCGCGGGCTCCGTGCGGGGCCGACTCTCTGCGCTGCTCCGGCCGAGACGCTCCGTGCGCGGCCCGAGCCCAGCGCGCGCTCCCTCCCCTCGCTCGCTCCCTCGGCCGCGGGCACGCGCCGGCTGCGCCCGAGCGATCCCGATCCCGCCGGTGCCGCCTCCGCGCGAGCGCGCTCCCGAGGCGCGCTCCCGCCACCCACCGCGCACGCGCGGGCCGCGCTCTGCCCCGCGCCCGGCCCGGGAACAAAGGCCGCGCTGCCCCCCGGGAATGCTGCGGGAATGCTCCGCGATCCCACGGGATCCCAGCCGGCCCCGAGCCCCGGCAGAGCCGCCGCTCACCTGCGCCGCCGCGGGGTCACCCGGAGCCCTCTCGGCCGGCCCGCCCCGGGCGGCGGCCGCCCCGTGCTCGGCGCTGGGAGCGGGTGTTGGGACGCGCCGGCATCCGCAGGGCCGGGGCCTCGGGGGCCACGCGGGCTCTGTCCCAGGGACTCGTAGTTCTGTTTTAAAAAAAAAAAAAAAAAAAATCCGCAAAGTGGCCTCTCCGAGAGAGGCCGGTACCGTCCAGCACGAGGTTTAATGGACTGCTGAAAACAAACCCCTCCTCCGGGCTCTGCACAGACTGTGCATCGTTCGGGTTGGGTCCCCGTCCAGCAGTGCCCTAAATACATATGTAAGTTTCAGCACATAAACTGGATGGAATAAATGTAATTACTGGTGTGCTTACATATACTTTGTTGGATTAGGACCCTGTTCATCTGCGGAAGCTATTCAGAGGTTTGCCAGAGGAGAGACACTTGTTTATTTTCAGTAAAATATTTAAAAATATGCGTTTGCTATCTTATTTCCATTTTTTTGAATGACTGAAGCATTTTCTTGGCCAGTTTAATTGATTATCCAGATGGTTCTCAGTATCCTCCTCATTCCTTTTGATGACCAGTAAAGCACTTCTTTTTGTTTAACATTGCTATGTTGAATCTGCCAAGTCTGCTCTTCAGAGATTTTTGTGATTAGTTTTAAGGCAGATTCTCAAAAATACATCATTGTAGTGATGCAATGCAATATGTACCAAAACCACTCTTTAAGAATCCCCCCAAGTATGGATAATATCAATTATTTATTTTCAAAGGATGGCAACTACAGGAGTTTAACTTTGCTCATAATTTCTCCCTGCACACCTTGTAGCTATGCAGTGATTATTGAGCCTTTTCCTTTAAGTATTCATGGGGAGTGATACAGTGGCAGTGACTGCCAACTCATAGTTGGGCTGACTTATTGAATACTTAAAGAGATATGATTAAGTAAGGTACTATTTTTGTCCTGGATAGGAAGGGCACAATCCTGAAGCAACATATTCTCAATATTAATTTTTTTCCCCACCTTCAATTTTAGTACAGAGTAGGGCTAATCATTTGATGTATTTTTAAACATATAGAAGTCTATTCAACGGTGGAAACTTCAAAAAAGGTAGTATCCTATAGAGAACAAGGAAAAAAGTATCTATAATAGTAACAGTTAGTATTTTTAGAGAACCAGAATGCTTATCAGTTCCAGTAATCTGTGTGGTTTCTACAAAGCATCTCTGTGGTTAACACTTTGATCCTGGGAACACACACTAACCTTTTGCTAAAAAGAGGCAAGTGACAGTCTCTCAGTCCTGTACCAGATCAATGTGTTGCTAGTTGGTCAACATTACTAAGCATTTGCTTTTCCCTGGGTAGAAACTAGTTTCTTGGGCAGTGAAAGTAATTAAATCTAGTTTCTGATGGCTTTTTCTTCTCTTTGACCTCACCACAGGAACCTCCCAATTCACTCCCACGTTCCCGCTAGCTCTGAAATGCCTCCAGCTTGCTCACCTGCCTTAACCCTTTGCAGCACCTCAGCTCGCTCATCCCTGTAACTGGAGGTGCCCCAGAGGGAGCACCCAGCACAGCTCCTTCCCAGCTGTGTTCCACCCACTGCTCCATGACCCAGCTCACACCTTCCAGCTCTCCAGACCAGTCACCTTTCCCTCCTCCCATCAGTAGGACCACTTATCTCAGTTTTCCTCCATTATTCATGATTACACTTTCTTGTAAAGTTACAGGAACTGCAGAGTCTTTGAGACTCATTCCTCCCTCAGTCTGGGGTGTCACTCACCCACAGGGTCAAGAGTTAGTAGAGAGGCCTGACTGGAATAGACCCCATAGCAGGTGGCACAAACTTCATTACTGTAGGAAATGAGGGCTAAAAGATCTCAAAGACACTTTAAGACGCCATCTAATCCATGTTCCTGCTCCAAGGTAGGATCAGCTATACCTTTGTTATTTCTACCAGAAGTCTGTATAAACAGCTCATAAAAGTAATTCATAGATATCATTACATTATAATCTAAATCTCCCATTATAATTTCAGCTCATTCTTGAAACACTTCAGTGAACACAGGAACATCTTTTTTTTTCATTTCTCAGTTTTTGATGACTTTAATCTTCAGTAAATTACATAAATTTCTTTCCATCTACAGGTTAGCACTGCAAGACCTCTGATCATGCTTTTCTTTTCTCTCTGCATACTCTGCAACTGCGCCTTTTATCCTTTTTTACCATAGTTCTGGCAACTGGACACAGCACTCCAACCGAGCCCCTTTTAAATGATGAGTAATAAAGGCCCACTGTGGAGGTGCCATTAAATTAGCAGTATCTGTTAACATAATAATTTTAAACCAAAGTTAAGCATTTTAACATCAAGTTTTACTAATTATTTATTTACTGACATTATTTTTGTATGCATTGTTTACTAGGAAAAGTACCTACTGTCACTATGGAAGTATATAATACTACTGTCATTGACGTTATATAGGGATGTAGGCCTATAGTTTAATGGGATTACTGTGTTTCCTTGCTAGACAATAATGTCTGTAGGTCTTCAGTTTCATTTTATGTAATAAAATAATTTTTTTCTCCTCTAAACTTTAGACAGTATCCTCTTCCTTAAAAGTCCTATTATTTCACATTCATTTAGTGAAAGGGATAAACTGGTTCCCACTGTTTATTTTTATAAAATACTACTACTGTAGTATTTTACAAAGTTAATATATTATTATACTATACATGAATTTTATGTGAAAAGTCATTGGTGGTTATTTTATGTTTCTGTAAAACACATTTTTTGTTTTACAAATGAAGAAAGTACTAGCAACACATAGCAGCATTCTCTTGAGATGAAGAAACATGATTATCAACGGATAAATTGGCTATCAAATATTGCGTCTGGATCTGATTTCTTAGGCAAAAACACTGCTTCTGATCATTCAAAGTAACACTCAATCCTATGAGCTAAGGACCTACTCCCTCAGCAAAGCACCCAAACATAAATTCATTTCTAAGCTTGTCTGTAACAACACTGAAGGTAGCAAAAATACACATGCTTAAGTGATTTTCCTACTTATAAAGTCTCTAAAAGTAATGAATTAATTTTTACCCAGTATCCTTTCCTGACTACTTTTTTTATATATTGAAATGAGACCATTGAGCCCTTAAGAAAATTGAGTACATGGTGTCCAACAAAACACACATTTTGAGACTTGAGTAAATGAAGTGTCTGAAGGTAATAGTACACTAATTAAAAATTAGTGATTACACAAGTTACAAAAGGACACGTCGGATCTCTACTGATCTCTTCATTCTGCAGTAGGGTGAGTTTGGGTTTTTTAATTTATATTCATCACTGCCTAGGCTGTCAAACATCTGTATTCCCGACCAGTTTATTTAGGGATCTTCTGGCAGCAAGAAAGTGAAAGAACAGCATGACTACTTAAAGCAGCTCATCGAAAAATAATCTTAGTTTTTCAGAGAAGCATCGATAGCTGTTTCATATGTCTGCTTGAACCACACACTCTGCATAGGAACCAAATTCTGAGCTAACAAGAATTCCATAAGAAAGCGACTTTGGATATGCTGAATCTCTTCTTATATAACACGCTGAACTAAACCTAGTTTGCAAGAGAGTAACGAGATTCTCTGAAATAGGTGTGATAACCCACTCCTAACCTGCACAGCCTCCTACCCACACAGGGTTGCTGACTCCTGTAATTTCACTGATAATACTTCACCTGACAAAGAGCTGGGGGATTTTTCCCTGCAGTGCTGCCTTTAACATCTGCAATATTCAAGCAATTTCCTCAAATTTGGTTTCCACTAAAATAAGTGAACAAACAAAACTTTCAAAAGTAAGAGCTAAAGTTTCAGAAGGCAAATAGAATCCAAAACGTTGTTTCAAAATAATAAATATTTCATTTTGAAGCTAATGTTGTGTTAGACTGGTTGGATTTGCTGGTCCTGATGTACCAGTTGAGTTCATTGGATATACTCATAGAAACGATATGCTACATTCTATTATTAATTATAGTGTAGTTATGTACTAAGTCTTCAAAAAATTAAAAGACAGCCAGCCTGAAAAACATCAGACTGATATTCTGTATTTTGTAATTATCATAACTGACTGATTTAACTATCTCAGTTATTTTATAGGGAACATTTTCCACTTCTGTTTGACTTTCATGCATCTGATTTATTTACCACATATGTCCTTTTTCAGGATTTATCAGAAGTTGAAACTGAAAGAAAAGGTGGAAGACAGACTTCATAGAAAGATTAGGAAAACAAGAGCATTTTTAGTTTAACAGTGGACACAAACAAAAAGAATCTTTTTAAAGTGAAAAAGATTCTACATTATTTTTTTTTAAGGCAGGAAACTGTGCCTTGTTACCCTTTAAATCATATAAACACATTGCAGAAGCCTCTTTAGAACTGGAGATTTTAGGCAATCCCAAAAGAATTAATTCTTCAGAAGCACTACAGAAGTTAATGCCTTCTTCCCCTCCTGATAAAGGCTGGCACCCTAACATTTTGTAGATATCCAAGCATACAGCAATCACAGGATTAGGCTGCATGTATTTTTTCTTTATGCAGCAATTATTTAAAAAACACATTTTAATAATCTGTCAGTTGACTGCAGGCCTGTTAGCAAATCTGATGGGTCACAGAGCTCCACAGAAATAGTTATGATCAGCATATTTCTAGGCAATTTTTACCTTGGAGTTTTAGGAGGAAAGCAAATGACTGTGTACCAATGTGGATGAAGTAATTAATCTAAATTCTGTTTCAGAACAAGCTCTGGTT